TCGTGGGCAGGCTGGACAGCGAGGGCAGTCGTACAGCCGCTTTCACTGTGGCCAAAAAGGAAAGGTTTTTCCTCCAGATCATCGAAGGTGTGCATGTTCTCAGTTGGTTGGTTTTCTAAGGAAATGCCAGGACATGGGATTCCCCTGGGCGCTGTGGCTGCTGCTGATGTTGTGAAGTGGGAGGTCTGCAGGGCACTCGGTGTCCCACCCAGTAATGCAGGTTCATTTTTCTCATGAAGAGCCCTGGGAGTAGGTGTGCGGCTGCTCACCACAAGGTCAGCCGCTCCACACAGGAGAGGGATGAGGCTGTCTGCTCGCTCCCTGAAAGATTTGTCACCTCGGGACCCCCGGGGGCAGGTCTACTCTGTCCTACTGGGTCACCAGGAGTCGGAGTTAACTCCGCAGCAGTGAGATGGGGTCTCTTTTCATGGCAGTCATGAGCCCTGGTGGCGCAGTGGTGACGCGTCGGCTGCTAACGGCAGGGTCAGCAATCTGACACCAGCAGGTGTGGCCCTGGGGAAAGACAGGGCTTTCTCACTCCCACAGAGAGCTGCGGTCTCGGAAGCCCACGGGGGCAGTTCTGCTGATCTGTAGGGTCACTGTGAGCCGGCATCCGCTCCGGAGCGGTGAGTTTGGTCTTTGGGGTTCGTGGGTTTGGTTTTGGTCCCCACCAGGGAAGAGCATGCCTCCCGCCCCTGCCCTGAACTTCCTGATTCCCGTCCTCTCTCTTCCCTGTCCCTTCTTGTCCTGCCACCTGGCCTTTGTCCTGGAGCAGATGTCCCTGGCTTGTCCTGGGCTGGTCTTTAGCTTCTCGGCAGTATGGTGCTCTGGGGCTCTGGGTCTTCCGGAGGGCCCTCTCCCGACCCTGGAGCTAAGAAGCGGTGCAGCTGCTCTCAGCCTGTGTAGAGCAAGAAGGGGAGCGTGTCTGCGGTGCATGCACACCTCCCGGGGGGGCCACCGCCCTGGGCAGCCTGCTCAGATCCCACCTGACACCCTGCCAGAGCAACGTCTGTCCCGGGGACTCTGCGCGTCACCTGTGAAACCCTCAACCCCAGAATCCAGCTGGTGGCCAGTCCACGGGGGCACAAGCGCCACTCCTCGGGAAGCTGGTGGGCCAGGTGGAGCCCCAGGCTGGTGGGCCAGGTGGAGCCCCACCTCCCCTTCCGAGCGTCTGCTGCATCTTTACCCTCCTGCCCTCCCTGATGAACGGTCCATCCCCATAAACCCACCTGCCTGGCTGGGCAGCTAGAGGGCCTGAGCCACGTGTGAGTGGTGGCCTTATCGATCATCGTGGGCAGCCACCCTTGGTAAATCACACGCTGGGCACTGCTGCGGGTTCCTGGCCAGCCAGGGTGAGCTATGGGCTGAAGAGAGATGGGGCTTTGGATAAGAACGCTTCTGTACACAGGGGGCTGTCTGTGGCTTTTACCTGACTCTGTGAGTACCAGTTAGCCCCCTCCCCCTGAGGACACTGACCGTCTGCCCAGCAAGTGCTACTTGGGGAGATGCCCGGCCACACACGTGCTAGGCCTTTCCCCCTTGAGAGATGTTGCCTGGATCCCAGAACGACTTTCTTTCTTTGTGTGTCTCTAACCTCCTCCTCACTGCAGCCCTGATGGTCGCTCCCGACCACTCCGACCCTGAGTTCAGACAGAGACCAGCTCTCGGGAAGATGGGGTCCGGCCGGAAGTAAGAGCCTCCTGCTTATTGGATGCCTGCGGAATGCCAGGTACTTGACCCCAGCACAGTGGCTGTCAGCTGCAGTGGTGCCACAGACGATGGGCGGAAGCGTGGCCCCGCACGCTCTTCCTGGTTCTTGGTCTGCTTAAGTCCACTGAGGGAGCAGGAGGGAGCCCCGGTGGCATAGGGGGTACCTTCTGGGCTTCCAACGACAAGGGCAACGGTTTGAAACCCCAGCCACTCTGTAGGAGGAAGTTGAGGCTGTCTACCCTGCCCTACAGGGTCAACGTGAGCCGGAATGGGTTTGATGGCGGTGAGCCTGGGTTTGTTTGTTTGTTTGTTTGTTTGTTTGTTTGTTTGTTT